TGCCCCCGAAAATCATGCCCCAGGAAACCCCCCCTATACAAGCACGCAATCGGATAGCACCAATCAAGTAGCACAAAGCAAAAGAAGAAGCGGTGCGCAGTATCACCTGTGTTACCACAGTAGCAACTGTCTGGCCGAGCGGCATCGATCTCATTCGGCATCCAAGAAGTTGTCACTGTGTCAATGACATCTCTGGCAGCCAAATTGCTCGGGGAAGTTAAATCACATGAATTTTGGCCTCCTGGATCCAGATTATAGCCCGGCCCGATCAACGCACAAACCAAAAAAAGGCACATGTTCCGCGATGCCACTGCTTCACAAGTTCAAACGCACTCCTCAATCTCTCTGCAGCGTCTGGAGGGCGATCGTCATCATCTGGCGATCTTGATGGCTAGCACCAAGCAAAACAAAGCCGACATCCATTTGTATGTCTCCACGCTGTGTGATCCACAAAATGGCTTCGGTTTGCTCATGTGTGCTCCATGGTGCGCATGCACGGGAAACGCATGTGTGGTTTGACCAATCCAAAGTTCGGCAAACTGTTTCTATTTTCCTCATGCGAACGTCTCGCCTTCCGCGCCGCCGTCATTTGTGCAGTCATCTGTGAAGGTCTGCCCCAACAGGTCGCAAATGCAGTCTTTGCAAATCATCATGGCTGAGCTGCGCGAAGTCCTGCGTTTCGAGTAGGCGTCTCTCTGTACAAACTTCAGGAAAGAAACATGGCAAGCGTTGAATTTGGAACCACATGGCACACAAGGAGCCGCACAACAACCCGTCCTGTCAAGGTAAGGCACAATGATTTCCAGCCAGCAGCTTAGACAGGCTTCGTCACTTGCAACTTTGTGGGAAGTTGATCACATGAGGTCGGTCGGAAACCGACCTCATGTGATCAACTTCCCACAAGGGATGGCCAGTTGGCCATCTGCCCGTGGTTGCAAATCCATCTGTGATGCCGCAAGCCAGCCTAGCTGTCTGCTATACAGCCAAAACCTCGCGGCCATTCGTTCGTGCAATGAAACAGCTTGATTTGCCTGGCACAAACGCTTGTGACGCATCCAACGAAAGAACAATTGTGAAATGTGTCTTGCAAGCACGCGCAAATTTTGCTAAACATCTGCTCATTGTTCCAACAAATTGGGCGGAAAAACTACAAAAACGCATGTGAAATACATAATAAAATACGTTTTTAGCTAAAATACATAAATTTACTACAAAACTTTACTACACCCCCAAATTACTACACAAAAATTACTGCACAAAATTTAGTACAAAAAACTACTACACAGCAACAAATGTAATGTTGGCCAAATTACTACACAAAAATGTGTAAAAATGCCCAAATTACTACACAACTGCCAAACAAATCTACACACAAATTGCTCTTTTTGTGTAGTAAATTTACTACACTTTGCTATGGACATCTTCGCGCAGGACAGAAGGGTTGTCCTTTACTGGGTTCATAGCGACACCTCACATTAAGCGCGTAACCAAGAACCGTAGTGCTCAAAGTAGCGCTCTTAAAAAAACTCTGTAGTTTTCCCGTAATTTTGCCCACTAGCGCTCCCGATGGTGGCCACAAGACGTCTCCAGCGAGCTCTTTGCACGTGAACTCCTCGTGCGCTGCTGGCAGCACTGTGGTACAGAAGGGGAAGCAGCCAGCTTCAATGTATTTTTTGCAAGTATATGGCGCGTGACAAGAACAGGGTTCAAGCCTGGAAAAATTGACTCATTGAAGCATGCTCATGCAGAAACAGGAAGCGATTTGGCTCACACACCCCAGCCACACGCTCCGGAGACGCTCAGCTGAGCAGATGGTCTTGAAGGCTGCAGGCACCAGCACCACCGGCGTCCGAAATTTGCAGCCTCTTGAATCGAAAAAGGTCGGATTCAGTCTTAGGCAGTCAAAGCCTCTTTGCAGCCATGCCAAGGGGTGTAGAATAAAGCTGCTGACAAGCTGTTCCTGCATTTTGCCTGAAGGTAAACGAAAGCATATGAAAGTATCGGACCTGGTTGTAGCATTGCCTGGCAGTCCTGCTTGAACATGTGCATCCATAACAGGGCGACCCTTTATGATGTGTGACAACATGTGCGAACGCATCTATAGAAGCCCTTGTGTCTCGCATGGTTGACAGCCACTCCTTCTGATAAAACGTCCAACCCCACAAGCGGGCACCCCCAAAACAATTCCAGCGTTCCCGCTTTTTGTACTTGCGGCGCATGTGCTCCCCAGCCACGTGCCTGTGGTGCAGAAAACTATCGGGCATGAGACGAGCACTGCTGCTACAACCTGCAGAAGCAATCTGAATGTGAGATGTGCCAAGATAAGGCTGCAGAGGGAATCACGTTCCTGAGTTGAACTCAAAGAAAATGGCTTGTTGACGTGCATACACATGTGCCCAGAATTTCAGTTCGAAGCCTATGAAGTACGAGGCTTTTTAGGCGGGGCGTCGCCTTGGCCAGCCAACAAAAAGCGGAAGCTTTGCTTAGCTTCGAAATTGGTAAGACAACTGCTGCGCAGATCGCGCTGGGCCGTCTGGCGAAAGAAAGCTAGTGAAGGTCGGTTATGTCCACAAAAGCACGTTCTACGAAAGGACAGAAATATCTGGTCGGCCGAGCGGCGGGCGCAGCCTGTGCTGCTGGAGCGCACCTCGCAGCGCGGGACGCAGCAAGCCCTGAGCGTTGCCAACCGGAATGAAAGTCATGTGTGCTGCCAACCGCCATGAAAATCATATGCGTCGCCAACCGCCACGCAAGTCATACGCGTTGCCAACCGCCATGAGACTCAAATGCGTTGCCAACCATGATGAAAATTCAGATGCGTTGCCAAACACCATGAAAACATACTCGTTGCCAACCATCATGAAAATTCATACGCGTTGCCAACCACCATGAAGTTATACGCGTTGCCAACCACCATGAAAAATCATATGCGTTGCCAACCACCATGAACAAACATATGAGTTGCCAACCACCATGAAAAATCATACGCGTTGCCAACCACCATGGACATCATAGGCGTCGCCAACCACAATGAAAAACATCATGTGCGTCATGGACGCTGCGGCCACCAATGAAAAATCATATGCGTTGCCAACCACCATGAAAAATCAGACGCGTTGCCAACCACCAAGAAAATTCATATGCGTTGCCAACCACCATGGAATCACACTCGTTGCCAACCATCATGAAAATTCATATGCGTTGACAGCCACCATGAAGAATCATACACAATTGCCAACCACCATGAAAAATCATATGCGTGGTGAACCACCATGAAAAATCATACACGTTGCCAACCACCATGACGAATCACACCCGTTGCCAACCACCATGAAACATCATTCGCGTTGCCAACCACAACGAAAAATCACATGCGTTGCCAACCACCACGAAAAAATCATATGCGTTGCCAACCACCCTGAAAAATCATACGCGTTGCCAACCACCATGAAAAATCCTACGCGTTGCCAACCACCATGAAAGATCAGATGCGTTGCCAACCACCATGAAAAGTCATAGGCGTTGCCAACCACCATGAAAATCCATATGCGTTGCCAAGCACAAAAAATAAAGGCGTTGCCAACCACCATGAAAAATCATACGCGTTGCCAACCACCATGAAAAATCGTACACGTTGCTAACCGCCATGAAAAACCAGATGCGTTGCCAACCACCATGAAATTATACGCGTTGCCAGCCACCATGAAACACATCATGTGCGTCATGGGCACTACGGCCGCCAATCGCGTAAATCGGACGTCATGCGCGTTGGAAGGCATATGCGTTGCCAACCACCATGAAAAGAAGTCATATGCGTTGCCAACCACCAAGAAAAAGCATATGCGTTGCCAACCACCATGGAAAATCATACACGTTGCCAACCACCATGAAGTCATATGCGTTGCCAACCACAAAGAAAAAAATTGCGTTGCCAACTGCCATGAAAAAGAACATGTGCGTCATGGACGCTGCGGCCGCCAAGGGCGTAAACCTGACTCTTGAGCGTTGCCAACCGTCATGGAAGTCATACGCATTGCCAACCGCCATGACAATCATATGGGTGCGTCATGGACGCTGCGTCCGCCAAGAGCCATGGAAGTCATACGTGTTGCCAACCGCCATGAAAATCATACGCGTCGCCAACCGCCATGCAAGTCATATGCGTTGCCAACCGCCATGCAAGTCATGCGCGTTGCCAACCACCACGCGTTGCCAACCTCCATGAAAATCATATGCGTTGCCAACCTCCATGAAAATCATATGCGTTGCCTACCGCAATGAGAAAACATGTGCGTCACGGACGCTGCGGGGCGTAAACCTGAAATCATGAGCGTTGCCAACGGCCATGGAAGTCATATGCGTTGCCAACCGCAATGAAAATCATATGGGTTGCCAAACGCCATGAAAAACATCATGCGCGTCATGGACGCTGCGGCCGCCAAGGGCGTAAATCTGACATCATGAGCGTTGCCAACCGCCATGGAAGTCATATGCGTTGCCAACCGCCATGAAAATCATATGCGTCGCCAACCGCCATGCAAGTCATATGCGTTCCCAACCGCCATGAAAATCATGTGCGTTGCCAACTTGTATGACCCCTAAAGATGTTTGTCGTTGTGTTTGTGTTCGTGTTCGTGTTTGTGGTTGCGGTTGTGATTGTAGTTTGTAATTCGTAGTTTGCGGTTTGTGTCTTTCGGTGTGTGTTTGTGTTTGTGTGTGTTTTTGCGCGTGCGACTGGTTGCATTTAGCCGGCGGCATGCGCGTACTCATGTCTTTTCAGCCAGTGGCAAACGGGAAACCCGTTGCGCCGCAGAAGGCGCCAGTGGAGAAATGTAGAGCAAGTCAGACAAGCAGCCGGCGAGAAAACAAAATCTCCCAGAAACTTTTGCAAAATGCTGCCAACCCATGATCGCTCGGGAATCCTGACATATATCCAAACGTGCGGAACACGTCACGCAAACCTGAAGCATACAAAGACTTGCGACAGCGACGGAAGTCATGCCTCTGCTGGCGCCACCGCAGAAGGAAGCAGTATGTCCAGCCCGAAGCGGAAGCAGTCCTGACAGGCCAAAAGAGAAACATGAATTCAGACACGATAGACGAGGCGGCTAGGGGTGGCAGTTCGGATCTCGATCTGTACGCTTCCTTGGCGCTAGACTGCTCGGCAGCACAAGCCTTTCAGCTGAACAAGCAAGCAAGTAGCTTTGTAGCTCAAACACGCTCAGCTAAACCAGCAAGTATATACCTCTGTGTCTGCAATTCAAACAAACTCCAGAAAAGACGCCAACGTGGTGACGAGTCAGTCATTTGGGGTAAACACTGCGGTCCATATTTCCCTTTTTTGCACTGCACCTTTGCACCAGCTTTTCATGAAGCCAGGCGCGCACAACACTGCGCAGCCGCGCCTGCAACTTTAGGGGCGCACCCCTAGTTTACGCGACTACGAGATGGGACCCGCTGTCCAAAATAAGCCCAGCGCTAAACAGCAAACAATGAACCAAAGGCAAACCGGCGACCCCTAATAATAAAGCTACAGCGCCCTGCAGCAGCACTCTGAGTCTCGGCCCTGAGAGGCGGCGCGGTCTTCCAAAACTCCAGCAAGCGATTGTAACAATATCCCTACAGATTTTGGCAAGCGAGTTGCCTGAGCCGCACGCTAATCGTTTTGCCCGCTAAGTGGGATGGCACGTTGTCTCTGTGTCTGTTGGCTGACGCCAGCTGCGCGCCGGCACGCAGCATCCAAACACTCATTTGGGCTCGCGCTCTCCGTGCAAGAAACACTACCTATCCTGCACGACTGTCCTTTCCCTTTGCGTTAGGCAAGGGGCGCAAAGCAGCAACAGCAAAGCGAGCCCTGTCAAACCAAACCCTACGCGCGCCTGACAATGCCAGCTGCGCGTTGCAGAGCCAGGAGTGTCCTGCCGGCACACAGGCATCGTGCGGCACACGCGGCCTTTGCACGCAGCCTCGCCGCGTCGCCCGCCTCCACATCGTCGGCATTCATCAAGGGTTTAGCCTCAACCGCTGCAGCCACGTATCCTGAGCGTTAGCAGTACGCAGAAACAAGTTCGTCACGAGCAACGCCAAGGCGCCGCGCGTGCCACCTGAAAGGACCCCCGCCCGCAATAAACAAGTCAAGCGTGAATGAGGTAGACAATGTCAGGACACTCTGCGCAGAACAAAAGTCATCGAGCAAACAAAGCTCAAGCAGCTCAACTCAGCTACTATTTTGCATGTGCTCTAATTCGGGTCTGACGTCGCGACCCCCGCGCAGCTCAGAGCACAACGAAGACAATCTCACGCGCCAACACAGCTGGCGGCGCCCACGAAGGGTGAGTGTTACGAGCACGCTCCTTGCCCGCCCGCGTGCGAAAGCCACACTCGCCTTGCACCCCGCTTGTTGCTGACGCACTGCCTTTGTTTTTTCCCTGTTGCTTGGCTCTCTGTGAACCAGCGAGGCTTCTATTCGCTTGCGGCAGGGAGACAGGGTTCCCCGCAAGAGGCAAACGCAAACAGGCGCAGCCACAAGGTGTTCCGCAGCTTGCTAAAGGCTGTGTAATTTAATTCGCGATTTGCGGGGCAATCCAGCATGTGTCTAGGCGCGCCAAGCTGGGCTTGTTTGGCTGGCAGCGCCGGCACCTTGTTCATGCGTTGGTATCGTGAGAAAAGAAAAAGGCGCCTTCTCCGTTCGCGGTGGGCTCCACCTCCGCTAGGCCCCAGCCGTCCGCTCCTTCTTATGTGCTTCAGGCTGTCTGAATCTTCGGCATCAATGTTCATCTCTTCCGGATCAACTTGCCCCTGCTCCCCCGTCCGGACGCCAGCACCAAGTAAAAGTCCTGTACCCACCGCGGCCACCTCACAAGTGCAGTGACACGTGCACTCACCGATGCGGGAATCACTGATGAGAGCCGCCAACCATGAAGAGGTCAATGCGACCCAGCGCCACATATGCCCGCTTATGACTTGAGCCGCAAGCACGCGGCCTCCTTCAAGTAAAAAGCTACTCAAACAACCGTAAACAGAGTAATGGACGATTGCGAACATGTGAACCTTAGCATGCTCTTAAGTCATTTGACGTCATTTGACCCGCCTTGAAGCCACTTCCTCCATCCACGCAGTTTCCACTTCTCGCAGGAGAACACTAGCAGCAAAGGCGGCCCTGCCCGAGATCCGGCGCGCCGTCCCCTCACTCACGGATCTTGCCTGGTTGTTGTAAGCTTGTCATCAGCGCCTTGCCCAACGAAAACTGCAAAAGAGAAGCCCTCTGCTTCTATCCGAACCTCCAGAGCCGGAGATCGGCTGCTCTTGACGTGCAAGTCATAGCATGACTGCGCAGATACTGAAAAAATGCCAGTGTCAGTCTCCCTCAGAGACGTGCACGTTAAATGAAGGTGGCGGTGTTGGAGAATCAGTCAAATCAATGCGATTCAGCCCAGGCGCCATGTAGATGGGCACATACGTAAAGTCTGCCTGCGAGCAGCATACCACATGCATCCACATGCTATGATAGCGGCCAGGGCCCAGCCTCTTCAGCACTGTCCACTCGGCACTCTGCTCGTCGCAGGAATTCGTGCACCCAAACCTCAAAGCAATGAGCGGACAAGTGGAGAAGCGGAGAAGCGGAAAGACAGTTTGAGCAACGAAGCGACTCCGCCTCAGTGAAGCACAGCCCTCGATCGGCGCAGGCCAGCGAATTGGCCCAGAGATCTTGGGAAGCCTCCTGCGTGTGAGATCGATCTGCTCGAGTGCCCCGAGTGCCCCGAGTGCCCCGAGTGCCCCGAGTGCCCCGCTCGCTCATCCACGAAAATGCGCACTCCGCGGCAGGGCATGTTCCTGTGCCGGAGGCTCAATGAATGAATCGCGAGATATCCCAAGGCCCGTCGCACATAGACGGCGGAGATAAGAACCAATCCTTACGACAGCGCAGCGCATCACAGAGCATATTATAACACAGCCACTTAGTCATGGGCGAAATGCGCCCACGAAGCTCGATTTGTTTGGTGCTTCCAACGGCAGTCATCCTCTGCCTGCGACATGTACAATCACCATGAGGACGGTTCCAAAGGCTTGCCTTGCAAAGATACGTTTTTCTCAGTCCTATCCCACGCATTTCCAGCATATCCACCCCTCTGCGTCTCCTCTAACATCCCCCTAATTTCACGAGCCTCTGCATTACATCCCGCATCCCCCTGCATGTCTTCCCCATCTGGCGTGAGATGTTCTTGGTATCACAAGACAGCCTCTTTCTTAGCATCATATGTGCCGTAAACACAAAACCATGTACCCAACACATATCGTATGCAACAACTACAAAAACAGGACAAATGTCAAGGGCCAGCCTCCAAAGTGTGTGAGAGCTGCGAGGCAACCATGTAGCCCTCCAAAGCTGCCTGGACCAACGCGCGAAGGCGATGCTAGCTGTGTTGTTTTAGCGCTCAGCCTCCCGGCCGTGATTCTTCTCCAGAGATGGCAAGATTGCTAGGACCTGAAAAAACTGAGATTAAACTGATGTCAAACTGATATGTTGATTCAAGAACCGTTCTGGTGGCATGCTGTTTTTTGCCCAAGGCCAACCTGACACTCTCAGGTGGCTGCCAGTGCGGCTGCGCCGGCTCGGCAGGATTCCGCCAGGTTTTCGACATGGTCCTGAGCGACTCGGTCCTGAGCTTTGTTCCGAGTGTCCCGGCGGCCTGCCTTGATGCTGCCCGGGCCGGAGCAGCATGCCTCCGAGAGCTTCGTTTAACGTGAAGTTTCGAACCAACGTTTCGAGGAGCCAGCAGTCCATAGCCTCCAAGGGTCACCCTGGCAAGGCGGCGAGGCTATTCTCAATGCTCCGATGCTTGCATCTAATTGCATATGCCAATTGCATATGCCATTTGTTTTTTTGCAAATTAGCCAGTTGCATCTAGTTGCATCCAGTTGCATATACTCAAAGCACCTTGAGTTTTCCATGGGCAGCGAGCTTGCGTCGCCTCTGCTGGGAAGGGCTGCAAGCGCATAAACTTGGAGATGGATGAGGCCTGGGCTAAGGACTCAGGGCTTGGACGTGTTTGAACATGAATCGTCTTTGTGTGTGTACTTTCCCAAGGCAAAATGCTCCATGCTTTGCCGTTGCATTCAAATCATTTTCTCTGCCTCAAAGAAGGACTTCCACATTGAGCCTGAAATTGGCGAATCCTTTGAGTCGCACGTGACGAGACAGTCCTGCATGCCCGGGCACAGCGCAAAGCTGCGCCATGTTGCGCAAATCGCAAAGCACAATGGGACGCCAAGACAGTCCTCTCCCCCTGTGCTTAGGAGTTGGAGAATGGCAGGAAGCACAGAAGTGTCGCCTGTGTGCCCACGTGCCAATAAGTCCTGAAGCAGTCGCTATGGCGAAGCTTGCATTCCGGCTTCCAAGCCTCGAAGTCAGAAGGAGGCACGAAAGACCCACCTGCAACACACGCCACGCCCGGACTCCAAAATCTGGTCGCATCTGGTCGCCTGGAACACAGCAGCTCTGATACCTCACAAAACGGAAGCTCTGACCCGTGAGCTGCATTGCACTTGGCTCAGGACGTGTGCATGCCATCCCAGCACTCGGCATTGCCGCCTTTTGGAACACCCGGACAAAGAGGCCGGATTGAATCTTTGCCCATTCGCAGCCCAATTTGCACCCCCGAACAATGCAACATTTCATCGCACTCACACTTTTCCCTGGTGTCCTCTCGGCTTTTACGCATGTGATCCCATCGTCAAGCTCAGCATGTGCCGACTTCAAGGATGCGTTCGGCGTGAACCCCTATAGCAAATATCAACTCCCTCGCAAATCGATAGACTGCGCACGCCTGGGCCGTAGCTCTCGTTGCAGCAGCTCTGGAAGGAGAAGCCTCCCACCGCAACGAATTGCGTCGCTTGTGTGAGAAGGACCTTGCCTTCCTGCCAGCATGCAGGATTGCCTTCATCGCCTTCGCCTTCTGTCGGTTTCTCCTATCCAAAAGTCACTCTGAGCATTTCGGGTTTGATATGATCTGAAGAAGCAACTTGTTTGCACGCGCCTGCTCCCATTTGCAAACTGCGCCATCTCATGAGCTTCCTAGTTGACTTACCTTTTTTCCTCACCCAGTCTCCTTTAAAAGGACAAGAACATCAAACCACCAATGCCTCCTGAATGGCGGAGCCCAAAAACGCAACCTGTGCACAAAGGTGACCCTTCCACAAAGCCAATCACACCCTGCCATGAGGCAAGTCAAATCAACTGCTTCATCAATGGCCCCAAACATGATCAAACTTGCCGCGCCGACCCCGGCCAGTAGCTTGACATTCATCGCCCATTGCTACAGCACAACCGCAAGGCCCCCAAAGCAGTGAATTTCCAACATAATTTGGCAACATCTTTTGGCAACATCTTTTGGCTACATGCAGTGTTTGTTCAGTGTGTGTTGTATGTTGTTCAAGGCTGCCCCTGCGTGGCAGTCAATGCAATTGATTCGTGACTTTCCAGAGCAATTTTAGCGGATTGCAAAAACACGAACCTTGCTTCATGACGTGTGTCTTTTATTCCGGAAAAATGCGTTCGGCCGTGTGTGCAATGCTTTTCGGTACGCGAGTGCTGGCAAGGCATTCTCGCTCGAGAGGCCGGATTCAAGGAGTGCAACGCTGGAAACCAAGACAAAAAACAAGATCGGAAAACCCAAAACCAATAGCAACGCAGCAACTCTATAGCAACTTACTAAAGGCAGGGCCCACATAAACTGACCAGGATGACTGCTGTCTTTACCTAAGAAGCCAACGTGTGTGCAATTGTTTTCACCAAATGCTGTCCATTCTCGCCGGGCATTGATGAAAATCCCGTGAAGGATGATGAGCAGCGCAGGTACAACCAACTGCCAGGGTGGTGCCACTTGGAATGTGGCTGTGGGCAACCAATACAGCGCAAGTCAAGAGCTTGTCATCGGCGACTGGATCCAAGAACTTGCCATACGCTTACCTTCCATCGCCGAGCCAAGCAACCGTCCAATGCTGGGGATGCAACGCAAAAAGGGGATGCGGCTGTGGAATTCTCACTGGAAAAGCATGAGGTGTCAAAGGCAAACCTTCACAAAAAAGTTTGGCGCTGGTGTGATATTGCTCGTCATCTTTGCTGCTTGGGATCTAGTGTTGAATGTGCAGCTTTGTCGGCTTCTGTTCCAGAATGCTCCATGTCAGCGTTACTTAGCTTTGTCTATGGCCTGGCTCTTGCAAATCCACACTTGGCCCGTTGGACTTCCACCATCATCCCGTCTGAATGCGCATCATGGGACTATACTGACAATGCGCATCATGGGTAACAAGGCCCAAATTTTTTTACGCCCATTTGCCGCGCAAGACTCTGTCAAGCTGCGCTGAAGTAAAGTTGCGGTCATCCACACCTGAATCAAAGCATCCAAGAACGCGTGCGAAAACATGTATGAAAACACGCGTTCAACTGACCTTGCCTTCGCAATGCAACTCCTCCAGGGCCTGGAAGAATCAAACCCGTCACTCGGTCGCGAATAACTGTGTCTCTGGTATCTGACGCGTGTCTCACGCGTGTCTCACGCACGTCTCGCGCATGTTTCAAGCGTATATCTTCCTTCGTCCCGCGCATGCCTCATGTCTCACGTGCGTGGCACAAATGCAGAATTCTTTTGGGTGGCATTCCCATGACGGCGCCGCCGAAAATGAAACTGAAATGAGAAGAAAAAGGCGACAATTGCATACGCCGTGGACTGAGGTTCGAGGCTTGAGCCAAAATAGATTGCCGGGCAAAGCAACTTTCTTGACGTTTAGCTTCAAACCAACTTGCGCCGTAGCCGCGAATCGAGAAACATGGTCTACAAAAAAAGACCGAGACTTCGACCTGGTTCTACAACTAGCGCAATACACAAGCAACAGAAGCAGCAAACCTCGCAAGAGACCTACACTACATTCTCATCAACGTATGCCAAGGAGCTGAACCGCTACAACGCATGCGGATGCGACTTTTGCACAGCAGGTTCAGCATACTCATAGGAACACAAAGCGCTATCTTCCTCACCATTAGTTCTTACTGTTTCATTGATGGCGCCAACGTCCACACAATGGCTGGGGACAATTGGTGTTGCCGTGGAGTTGCGTTCGCGACTGTAGCAGTAGCCAATTGGTCTGACTCAGGACGCTGCTGTATGCAGTATGCATCTGAGGTCTCAACGGGGTGTCAGTCTCAAGTTCCTGTCATTCTGATGGCCATTGGTGCCGCAAACGGCGCTTGTCGTCATGCTTCCACTGGATGCGTCTACCTACGCAAAGTGTCTTCAAAACCAACTTTGCAAAGTCGTCCCAGGACTTTTCTTCAAACACATCGTCACCGGTCATAAGAAGATCATCTGCGCGGGAGGGCCCCTTCTGTGAAATTCTGGGCTCTGGCGTGTTAGGCTGGAGGTGCTGAGAACGCTCACCGATGTATCATGGTTTGCGTGCGTCGACTACATGGAACACTTCGTTATTCAACCAAGATTGGGACTAGAAGCTTTGCTTCGAGGAATAGCTTCTGATAGCTCTTCTCTCAGTCGCTTCCTTCCGCTCAAGGATTCCCTAAGCTTCCTAGAAGACAGTTTCTTGAAGACAGAAATTCGCAAGTACAAAATCAAGGCTGCCAGCCGAAATTTTACTATTCTAGCAGTTTACATCTGGAAGACCTTTTGTCTTCTAGAAGTGCGTTCTTGAAGATCAGCAGCTTAAAATTCAAGCTGCTAGAAGTACTTTTTTTTGCTTCTAGAAGTGTGTTTTTTTGGAGATGGAAGCTGGAAGTTCGAGGGTGGTGACTTTGGGAGGTAGCATCTTGCAGCAAGCTCTCTTTTTTTTTGCGAATCCGGCGACATTATTATTACAAGCTCTTTGGCTTGCGCGCCAGCTATGCTCAATCTCTGTCAGCTTCAGCCTTTCCAGGCTCTTGCATTTGGTTTCGTTCCCGAAGTCCCGGAAGCCCTCCAGAGACTTGGATGGCCAAGCATGAACAGCAGCTCCCTGTTGCAGGCTTCGCGTGTTTTCTAGAAACTAGATGGGGAAGCTTTCTGCAAGCTCCATGGTTTGAAGGAGTTGGCCCACCTGAGCAAGAGTTTTCAGAATCATTCTTAGGTGAAGGATAGCCACCTCTTTTGAACCAAAATTGCTGTGTGGTGAATGCAAAGGTTTCATCCCTGTAGTTCCAGACGTCCTTGGGGTGTAAGCCTTTGCAGGCTTCATCCAAAATATGTTGCAGCAGATGGAACTTGGGTCTGGCCCTCCAAGCGTGTGTGTCATCCGCATCTTGACCAACTGCGTGTTCTTCCAGTGCCAGGTACTGGCTTGTGAATTTGTAGCCATTGCTGGCTATGGCTCTCTCATTGCCATCTTCCAGAGCTTGGTACATTTTGCCACAGTACTTGGCCACATTATAAATGGCCTTCTGCCTGTTGCTGCCGTGATTAAATCCTTTTTCACGTGTCAAAACTTCCAGCCCTTTTTCACGTGTCAAAACTTCCAGCACAGGGATGAAGTGCCTGCACTGAGCAGCCTTGACAGCAAGCTGAGGAGCCTTGCCAATCTTTTTTGTATCTCTCAATGAGAGCTTCGGCAATTGTTTGTCGCCGGGCCAATTGCCAGCCCCGAAAATTGCCTTGTTGTGTTGCCACAGCAGCGCGGCTCGATCTTCTTGGTTGGATGCTGGGTAATGTGGCAGCAGCTCAAACAAGATTTGGCCTGCAGCCAAGGCTCCCACGCCCTCGTCGGCCACATGCATCCAGTCAGGCAGGACGGTCCAGTTGCTTACCCCTGGCAAATGAAACAGGGGGTTGTGAGTCTTGTTTCTGGCTTCCAGGCCAGCAAAAAAATCAGCCTTCGTCAGGCTCATTCTGAGCCTCTGCTCTGCATTTAAAGCCTTCCATTCGCAAGGCTTTGCAGAACATAGCCAGCAGCATCCTGCAGTTTGGTTGTGGGTTGGGGCCCCATACCATTTGCAGTTCCAGTCCGAGTCAGACCTCATCTCAATCAACGCAGCCTTTGCAGGCATGGCGCAGCCAGACATTTGCAGTCTCCAACTGTCGCTCCTGAGATGAAAAGGCTGGCCATCATGCCTGCAAGTGGGAAACCTACCTTCCCCCAGCTTTTGCAAGCTCCAAGCAATGACTTTGCAGATTGCGTTGCAAGTTTCCTGCCCTGCGATATGTTTGCTTTCCAGGCAACAAATGGGCACCCTTTGTGCTTGGAATGTGGCCGAGCAGGGAAGGTTCAAAGTCCAGAAGTCTACTGTGGATTGGTTCATCCTCCCCTGCACTGGGACACCATCGCCATGGAGGCCCACTGGCACCATGCCATTTGCTGGCTCACCCCACGCATCGCGCATTTCAGCCAATTTCTGGCTCTTGTACGTGCCCTTTTCAGGCATAGCCTCTTCCTTTGCCCCTGCTTGATGCAAATAACTCGAAAGCCATTCATGGGGCAAATGGAAGGGCAGCCACACTGGCTTGATGGCTTTGGTTTTCGGAGTCCACATGGGAATTTTTGCACAATAAAAAAACACCCCGCCGATTGTTTTCCTTAAAAATCTTTTTATGGTTCCTGAGGCATTGTGGTCTCTCGCCTTTTCAGTCTCACCTTCATCCTCTTGCAGGCTTTTTTTGTTATCCTTCACAGGATTTGAAAATCTCAAGCCGCACTTTCTAGCCTTTTCCAAAATTTTCAAGCTCTCTTGCGCTGAGACTTTGTTGTTTTCGAAGAGCTCCCTCAAAGCTTCTCCAAATTCCTCCTCAGCTTTTCTTTGTCTCTTGCTCTGAGGCTCTGGTGTATGAAACCATTGCCTTTTCTCTCCATGCTCCCTCCATGGCTTGGGGGCGCCTTGTGCGCCAACCCACAACAAGAAGACCCCTAGAACTAACCGCTTCATGGAGCTTGAACCAGGCAAGCACGCGCGCAGGCAAGCGGGCAGGGCGGGCAGGCGGGCAGGCGGGCAAGTGGGTGAGCAGGCAAGCAGGCGGGCAGGTGGGCAGGCAGGCAGGCCATGGCGCTCTTGTTTTTCTATCCGCTGCTTGGGTCTAGATAATCTTTGTACTGCTACTGAAATCTACAGCCTTTGTCAGGCTCCGCTTTCATTTTTCACTGCTGCCTTTGCCCACAGCAGGCTAGAGAAACCCTGCATTTTTTGCCCACAGCCTGTGTGGATTGGTGGCTTTACACAGGGCTTTCTGCTCCTCATCCACCATTTCCTTCAGGCTTTGCATTTGCTTGATCAATGTGGCCCCCTCTGTCGATCCAGCAGGCAGGGTGGAGGAGTAGGCGGCCACCTTGCTGACGTATTTCTTCTTCGACTCCTCGTGTAGCGCG